ACAATGTAAAAATTATTCTTCTAATTATTTATGTTTCCTTCTTATTTATATTTTTATATATAATTATTTTATATATATTTAACATTTATATATTTTTACATTTATATATAATTATTTATATTTTTTATGTTTCCTTCTTATTATTATCAATTTTGTATTAAAGAATAATTTTACAAAGGAAAAAAACATATATGATCATATTTTGCACATAATTATATATAATTATATGTGGAACTTTTTTTCCCGGGAAATCAATATTATATATATATATATATATATGTATATGAATTTTTTCGTCTTTTTAAATAATTTTGGTAATTTTTACATTAATACATACGTATTTTAGATCTTTAGGCTTTTATTAGGAGCAACGTAGTTTATTGAGACCTTTACAATACCGATGTTCTAGATGTCAACAAAAATTTTGAAACTGCGCCGCAATTTTATTTGAGGATTCCTACAATACCGAAGGTCTACGAACCGCCTATTGCGCTGAATGGAAAATTACAGTGTTGTAATTTGTACAATAATCTCAGAAATCTTATTATTTCAAGATATCTTTGATAAAATTGCAGTACTTCGAACAAAGCGTTATCTATACTTTGTTATCGACTTTATAAATATGATTCAAAGCAAGGAAGCTTATACGATACAATAATTGTGCGCAGGCGCAAAAATTTAGAGAACGACGACGGCGACGACACGACGAGCACTGTCAACTGTGCGTGAGTGGTCTGTGACGTCTGTCATGTGTCGCCTCAGTTTCTCTGTAGTGGCCGGTTCGAGAAGAGCTGCCACGAGGGAAAACCATTCACGTACACCAGCATACGTCTTGCAAATTAACAGCTGATCGCTAATTCGACTCGCTATGTCGTACTGCACGCGAGTTCTCCGTGCACAGGTAAAGAGAACAAAGAAAACGGAAACTGAAAATGTGTGTGTCGCATGTGACTGAAGGGCGCTCCGTGTCTCTCTTTCCACCCTCTCTATTGGGTGGAGGTCAATTGATTGACCTCTAATACTCGGTGAGGTTTTCCGTACATAACAATTTTCTTCAGATCTGTGTGCTGTGAAGGGTGATAACTTCTTCTTCTTCTTCTTTAAACTCGCTCCGCTCTGAGGTAGGGTCGATACAGCCAGGATCGTGACTCGAATGATGCAATACTAAAACGTGATGATAGAATACTAAAGCAGAAACAGAACACTCGGCCACAGACGTCCACCTCAGTCCGTGGCTCGCTCAATCCCGAAGGGTGATAACGTTTGTCGGTGTCTCGCTTACGTCTGAAGTATACGATTGCTCCGATTTTTTTCGCGAAATCCGTGCTCGATCGTGGAAGGGGACGGGTACAGCGTGGACGGTCAGTGTTAAAAAAATGAATGTCGCAAATGGAATGTGTGTTGATCCAAATGAATCAAAGGAAGTGAAAAATTCACGAGTAGAAACGTATGAGAGTATTACATAACGCCAAACTGCATATGTATATATCGTCCGTTTTTCGAGGACGTTAGGTTAAATTCGCTCATCATGGCGCAGGTCTTCGACGAGAGAGAGAGAGAGAGAGAGGCGCGAAATTTAAGCTTGAATTTAAATATATTGGACATTACATGGGGACGAGAAATATATAAATAACACGGATAATATAATTAACGCACATTTAAATTGCACTCGTGCAGATTTCGGACTTGTTTATAATTCTTATCGCCGATTCGTCGCGCGCGCCTGTTATCGCGTCGACCGTAGATTTTATCTGGAGCGCATTTAAGTATACGACGACGTATCCACGAATAAATATTGCAAGTGCAATGAGCAAGTCACGTATCTCATTGTATTGTCAGACCTAATTACGTAATTGAGATCGCACACAGAAATAAACGGTATTGCGCAGCATATGACAAATTGGCGGACATGATTAACCATATGTTATTGTCTTTGTATATATGCATACGCCTTTCGGACGACTGAATGATTTAATTACTTTGCAGAGACTGTCCGCTTTAGCGACAGATATACAGCAGCGATGCTTCAGCGTGAGTCCATTGAGCTTTGCCGCTGCAAAGGTGGCGATGTCCAAATTCGATTCAACCAGCTACCTACCCTATGACAAACTGGAAGAAAATCTTAAAATAGTTAAGAAGAGGTAAATAGAAAGAGAGAGAGAGAGAGAGAAAGAGAGAGCGTTCTCTTTAAGTTTTTTAACTTTTTGAGATTTTGTATTATTTATGATAAAGTCGATGAAAATAATTGAAGATTATTTCCACAAATAATTAAATTTATTATATTTACACGAAAAGAACAACTTTGCTAAAATATCTAAAATTTAGCTGAATACAGCTAAAAATAATCTAAAAAATTTTATTGGATAATTAAAATAATTTTGTTGGAAGGAGTAATATTGTAAAAAAAATTTGATATTTTATCGACTGGTTTGAATTTTAAACATAAATATTTTGATGATCCAACAAAATTATTTTCATATTATTGTAATCTAAACTTTCAGCAAAATTGTGTTTTCTTTGTGCATAAATGAAGACTTATTTTAAAAGATCTCTTAATATATTTTTTTAAATCTCATGTACACTATGTTAAATAATTATGAACTGATCGAATTAGTTTTTCCTTCAAATATATATTTTTTTAACCTCATGCACACTATGTTAAATAATTATGAACTGATTGAATTAGTTTTTTTTTTCAAATATAAATATAATCTTATTTTATTTTTTTCAAACTTTTGGTAGTCCAAGATACAAGTTGCTTAAAAGTGATAATCCATCAATCACACACTGTTTTTATTTTTCTTCTAAAATAATATCTTTTCAGATTGAATCGGCCGCTAACTCTATCCGAGAAAGTTTTGTATTCCCATATCGATGAACCTAACAAGCAAGATATCGTTCGCGGCACCAGCTATCTCCGATTGCGACCGGATCGTGTCGCCATGCAGGACGCGACTGCTCAAATGGCGATGTTGCAGTTTATCAGTTCTGGTAAAATTATACGCAAAGAACGATTTTATTGCTATTTAAAATTTAGCTGGAAAGAGATTTGAAAATAAAAATATTTATTGGAAAACCTCAAAATAATTATATATTGGAAATTCAATATATCATACTGATGAGCAATGCTGCAAAAAAATTTTGATATTTTAGCAATCAGTTTAGATTTCCGACATAATTATTTTGATTGTCCTACAAAGTTATTTTCATCTAAAGTATCCAGCTAAAGGATGTAGCCGAATATGAAAAGTATCCTTACGCGAAATTGCTATGCGTCGTTAAACTTGCAATATGTCTATCGTTAAATCTCTTTAAAAAAAACAATTTTTATCAAGTTTTAACTCTTTATTTTTATTATTTGTGATAATGGCAAACATGATTTTTAATCAATTTTTCTCTGTCTTTCTAATTTATGAAAAATTATAAAAAGTCAGTGAGTTCCAGTTATCAAAAAACATTTTTGGAAAATTTTCAATTTTTAAGTGATAATTTTTAAATTATCAAGTGATATATTAATAGTGATAACTAATTTAATATTTTTTTCTGTTACAACATTTTTGCAATATTACCTAAATTTTTTTCGGATGTTTTGGAAATAAGTGTCAATGTTAAAAAATTGAAAATATTATTTTTCTTTAAATCTTTGTGCAGAAGAGGAAAACTTTATTAGTCGAACTGTCGATCATTAAAATTGCAACAATGAAAACAATGCGTCATATTGAACTGTTAGAAACTTTGTTAGATAAGTCATGGTAGAATATGAAAATATAAGCTATGCTTGTAAAAAAAATAGCAAACTGTACCTCTAAATATCATTTACACCATTATATACCACATTATAATATGCCATATAAATATCACTTTGATAGTTTGATATTTCATATCTTTCTTAGCAATTGCAATTTTAATAGCCAGTATGTATTTATGTACTCTATATACTTTCTAAAGAGGCCCTTAAACGAGATGAATATTATTATACAATATTATTGATGCCTTCTGCAGACAATTCGATATAATTCTCAATATAATTTTTAATCAAATTGTGCAATAATTTAGTTAATTCTTGTTATGAGTTTAACTTTGATTTAATTGTCTTTAGCGACATATATGCTATATATATATATATATATATATATATATACATATATATATGTATGTATATGTATATATATATATAATTAATTTTTCCCAAATTTATAGTGTACCGCTTTTTTGGAACTGAGTGTATACATATTACATATATCGATTGCGTTTGACAAAATATTTGTGACGAGAGTCAGCTGACATCTGATTATCGAGCAAGCTAAGATTTAGCAAAAACAAATTCTATAAATTTCTGAATATCTTTCTTTTTTTTTATTTATCGCGATATTAAATAGAGAATTCTTTCTTTCAGGATTACCGAAAGTCGCAGTACCCTCCACCATCCACTGCGATCACTTGATCGAGGCTCAGATCGGTGGTAACGAGGATCTGAAACGCGCCAAGGACATCAACAAGGAAGTCTATAACTTCCTGAAGACCGCGGGAGCTAAATACGGCGTTGGCTTCTGGAATCCCGGCTCCGGCATCATCCACCAGATAATTCTCGAGAATTACGCCTTCCCCGGTCTACTGATGATCGGTACGGATTCGCACACACCAAACGGAGGCGGTCTTGGCTGTCTGTGTATCGGTGTCGGCGGTGCCGACGCTGTCGACGTCATGGCGAACATCCCGTGGGAGCTCAAGTGCCCCAAGGTCATTGGCGTGAAGCTTACAGGCGAGCTCAAGGGCTGGACAAGTCCCAAGGACATCATTTTGAAAGTGGCCGGTATCCTCACCGTCAAGGGCGGTACCGGCGCCATCGTCGAGTACTTCGGACCGGGCGTTGACAGTATCAGTTGCACCGGGATGGCAACCATCTGCAACATGGGTGCCGAAATTGGCGCGACCACCTCAATCTTCCCGTACAACTACAGAATGCAAGATTACCTGAAGGCGACCGGACGTTCGGAAGTTGCTGGAGCCGCTGATCAGCACAAGAACAGTCTGCTGACGGCCGACTCTAACGCCAAATACGATCAGATCATCGAGTTAGACCTGTCGACTCTGGAGCCGCACGTAAACGGGCCTTTCACGCCGGATTTAGCTCATCCAATCTCTAAACTGGGTAATTAAGTTACGCGCGGAAATCTAAAAGACAGAGTTTTATCTTTTTTCTTTTTTATCTCTATTTTTACGAAGATATCAATTTTTGGGATCACTTCATTCAGGCGAAGCTGCTAAGAAGAACGGCTGGCCAAACGAAATCAAAGTCGGTCTGATCGGTTCCTGCACCAACAGCTCCTACGAGGACATGGGTCGATGTGCGAACATCGCCAAGCAAGCTCTGAAGCATGGTTTGAAGGCAAAATCCGCGTTTAACGTCACTCCTGGATCCGAGCAGATTCGCGCCACAATCGAGCGCGATGGGATTGTAAGTTTTCTGTCTTTACAATCACAAAATTTTGTACACTTTAAATGATCTAGTGTTGTTTTGTTATAACACAATGTTTTATTATATTCTTTTAATGGCTATTTTCACGAGAAATATCACGTTCATAAATTATTGCAACTTTTTCTTTCGAACATATCGTTTATTGATATTTTATCGATTTATTGATATTTTTTTACATACAGTTTTTGCTCAAAACTTTTTAAATCCATTAAAAAAAATGGAATTACATGATTTTTTTACATAATATGTCTCGTCTAATTATTCTGTATATAAAGATATTAAAGTTATCAAAAAATAAAAAATTTACGAGATATTACTTTATTCTTGTACATTTTGATAATTACATACCAGAATTTTATTTTATGACAATATTCTACTTACGATTCTACAAACTTAGATAAAGTTATTGACATTCGAAACTGTTTTACATATTGACACTGAAGATTAGAATCTAGACCGTCTAATCTATAGATCGAAACGTTTGCCACACATTACTGAATTACTGTTTATATTAAATTAAAGTCGTTATAAAAGTAAAAGTCATTAATATCTTGCTTGCGCTCATACATATAAGCCCATTTTTATCTTACTGATAAATATAATAGAAAGAGTAGAGCAAAAGATTGTCAATTAAACGTTTATTTAACAAAAGTATTATAGAATAAGCCCCTTTTTATCTTACTGATAAATATAATAGAAAGAGAAGAGCAAAAGATTATCAATGAAATGTTTGTTTAACAAAAGTATCATAGATGTTTATGCTATATGTGACGCTTGTCTATATAATGTCACTTTAATTGCTTTAGGCACAAACACTTCGTGAATTTGGCGGTACAGTATTAGCCAATGCCTGCGGACCTTGTATCGGTCAATGGGATCGCCAGGATATCAAGAAGGGTGACAAAAATACGATCGTCACATCATACAATCGGAACTTCACAGGTAGAAATGACGCCAATCCAGCGACACACGCATTCGTTACAAGTCCCGAGCTCGTCACCGCCCTCTCCATCGCTGGTAAACTTGACTTTGATCCGACAAAAGACAGATTAAAGGGCAAGGATGGAAAGGAATTCCTCCTGGAGAATCCGTACGGTTAGTCGACAATTTTTCATACATCGCAATTTATAGTTATCAGCAAAAGATATATGGAAGAAATATAATATATTAACAGCCTAATTAAAAATAATCTTATTCAATAATGATATTAAGGGATAACTCCACTTTGGTCGCCCTAAAATTTAAGGGAATTTTTGTTTTAAGAAATGCGAAGTGTTTATAAAATCACTTATA